TAATATTGGTGGTGTTGTAGTTGTTGGTGTTGTTGTGGCTGCTGTTGCTGGTGGTGGTGGTGGACGTGTTGTTGCTGCTGGTGTTGTTGTCTGTGTTGGTGTTGTTGGTGGTGTTTTTGTTGCTGTTGCTGCTGGTGGTGGTGTTGTTGTTGCTGTTGTTGTTGCTGTTGTTGTTGCTGTTGTTGTTGCTGTTGTTGTGTGGTGTTGTTGTGTTGTGTTGTTGCGCTGCGCTGCGTGGCGTCGCGCTACGTTGCGTTGCGTTGCGTTGTTGTCGTCGTCCCCCCCGCGACCCGGCCCGCGACCCGCCCGCGACCCGCCCGCGACCCACCTGCGACCCATCCGCGACCCACCCCGCGACCCACCCGCGACCTACCAGCGACCCACCCCGCGACCTGCCCGCCACCCGCGGCCCACCCGCGACCCACCGGCGACACGGCCCGCGACCCACCCACCCACCCGCGCCTGCGGCAGGCTCGTTGAGTACTCCAGATTTCGTAATAAAAAGGAGGGGGTCTCATTTCGGGGGGGTCTCTTCCAGGCTATCTTGGAGGGCCTGGGGGTCTGGGGACGGTGTTTTGGAGGGTTCTCCCACGGGGGGGGTCTGAAATGGCTTGTCTTGGAGGGTCCAGACCCCCTCCCTTTTATTACGAAGTCTGGAGTATGGTTTGGGAATTCGGTGCCTGCGGCAGGCTCCTTCAGATTCTCGCAGACTGTCGACGTCCCCGCCGCCCCCTCACTCTCATCCGCAGCTGCGGGGTGCTACGCAGAAGTGCTCACGGCGTCCCACTGGAGGCCGTTTTTGAGTGCCTTGCGGCTTTTCTCGGGTCATCTTGGGGCTTCCTTGGGAGTCTTTGGGGGGCGTCATAGGGCTTCTGGGAGGCGTCTCGCAGGCATGGTGGCGGTTTCGGGGGTCATCTTGGGGCGGCGTGCTCGAAATGTCGGTTGGGTCTCCCCCTCGTGGGGCTCTCCTGGGGCCCTCTCGGGGCCGTCTTGGATTGTCCCGGGGGTATCTTCGGATTGCAAAAAAACGAAGGATTGCAAAAAAAACCCAGGATTGCCCCCCCAAAAAAACAGGATTGCAAACAAAAAACTGTTTGCAATCCTTTTTTTTGCAATCCTTTTTTTTGCAATCCTTCGTTCAAGTTTTGGGGTCCTCTCGGGCCGTCGGGGAGCCCTCTTCGGGGCCTCTTGGGCCGTCGGGGGGCGGTCTCTGGGGGGGGGCTCCCGGCCCGTCGTGGAGCGTCGGGAGGCCCGAAGCGGCAGGAGCGCGGATGTCCTTCAAGACTTGCTCGTACGACGAAGTACGTTGGCCTCTCGGGGTGCCTCTTGGTGCGATCTTCGGGCATCTCGGGGCGTATTGGGGGGCCCCTCGGGCCGTCTGGAAGCCATCCTGAGCGTCTTGGAGCGCTCCTGGGCCGTCTTGGAGACGTCTTGCTTCTCCGAGGGCCCCCGAAGTGCGTTGACGAGCACATGACCCCCCCCCTCACCTCGAGAACGGGGGATTGTGGAGTACCTCGCCGTCGCGGGCGCCAACGCGAGGCTTTCACACTGAGTTCGCGCGTGTGTCGTTCAATGCAATGTGTGCTCTGTGGCGGCCTCCTCTCTCCTCCTCCTACTCCTCCTCCTCGTCCTCCTGCTCCTCCTCCTCCTCCTCCTCCTCCTCCTCCTCCTCCTCCTCCTCCTCCTCCTCCTCTCCCTCCGCACGGAAAACAATACAGTTTTCGTTGTTGGTGTTCCCCCCCCCCGAAAAAAAGAGAAAGAAAAAAAAACGGGGCGGCTCCGCCGTTTTTTGTGTTTTTCTTTTTTTTCGGGGAGGGGGGGGCGCAAAGGAAAATCCTCTGCTCCTCCCTCCTCCTTCTCCTCCTTCTCCTCCTCCTCTTCTTCCTCCTCCGCTGCCTCCCTCCTCCTCCTCCTCCTCGTCCTCCTCCTCCTCCTCCTCCTCCTCCTCCCCCCCCCCCCCCTCCTCCTCCTCCCCCCTCGAGAGCGGGGGATTGTGGAGCCCCTGTGGTTCCAAAGCGCGCTCGCGAGGCTTTCGCGCTGAGTTCGCGACTGTTTCTGTGCAGACTTGGTTATGTGTCGTCCTCCTCCTCCCTCCTCCTCCTCCTCCCTCCTTATTCCTCCTCCTCCTCCTCCTCCTCCCTCTCCCCCTCCTCCTACCTCTCTGCCTTTTTTTTATTATGGCGCCCTCCCCCCAGATTTTTGTTGGATGGGGGGGCGCCAGGAGAAAAAAAACACAGGAATGCGACGTGGCCACATCTGCCCTCCCCCCCTAGAAGGATTCCTATTGAACGCCCCCATAAGAAGGATTCGCAGTGAAATCCTCGACAGAAGGGTTCCTATCCAAACCCTCCACTGAATGAGTCCTACTGAAATCCTCCATGTGGATTCCTATTGAAACCCTCACTGAATGATTCCTACTGAAATCCTCGAATGGCAATGGCAATGGCGATGGTAATGGTAATGACAGTGGTAATGGTACTGGCAATGGTTACGGTGATGGTAGTGGTAGCGGGGTAGCGAGGCAATGACAATGGCAACGGTAATGGAAATGGTAATGGCGATGGCAATGGGAATTGCAATGGCAATGGCAATGGTAATGGCCATGGCAATGGTAATTGTGAGGGTAAAGGTAAAGGTAGAGGTAAAAGGTAATGGTACTGGCAATGGCAATGGCAGTGGCAATGGTACTGCTAATGGTAATGGGAATGTGAGTGGGAATGGGAACGGGAACGGGAATTGAAATGCTAGTGGTAGCGGTAATGGCAATAGCATTGGTAATGGTAATGGTAAGGGAAATGGTAATGGCATTGGGAATGGGAATGGGAATGAGAAGGGGAATTCGAATGGTAATGGCAGCGGTAATGGTAATGGTAATGGTACTTGTAATGGTAATGGGAGTGGGAACGGGAATGGAAATTGTGGCAATGGTAATGGTAGTGGCGAATGGCAATGGCAAAGGTAATGGTAATGGTAATGGTAATGGTAATGACAGAGGTAATGGTACTGGCAATGGTAATTGTAATGGTAATGGTAACGGTGCAGCGCTTGGTAATGGCAATGACAATGACATTGGTAATGGTAATGGTAATGGCAATGGCAATGGGACTGGCAATGGCAATGATAATGGCAACAGCAACGGCAATGGTAAGTGTAATGGTAATGGCAATGGTCGTGGGAATGGGAACGGGAATGGGAATGTGAATGGGAATGGGAATGGGGACGGGAACGGGAATGGAAGTGGTAGTGGTAGTGGTAACGGAAATGGGAATGATAAGGGTAAGGGTAAAGGTAAAGGTAGAGGTTAAGGTAATGGTAATGGTAATGGAATGATAATGGTAATGGTCATGGGAATGGGAATGGCAATGGTAACGGTACTGGCAATGGTAATGGCAGTGGCTAATGGCAATGGCAATGACAATGCGAATGGTAATGGTAATGACAGAGGTAACAGTAATGGTATTGGCAATGGTAACGGTAATGATAGTGGTAACGGGGTAGCGATTGACAATGACAATGGCAACGGTAATGGTAATGACAATGACAATGGGAATGGCAATGGTAATGGCCATGGCAATGGCAATGGCAATGGTAATGGTAATGGTAATGTGAATGGGAATGGGAATGGGAACGGGCATGGAAATGGGAATGGGAATGGGAATGGAAATGGCAGTGGTAGTGGTAACGGAAATGGGAATAGTAAGGGTAAGGTAAAGGTAAAGGTAGAGGTAAAGGTAATGGT